GTCCCAATGACGCATTCATCTAGATAAAATTGATAAATAGAAGATTTTTAGCGATGGGCCCAATATTAGATCCATAGGCCAACATTGGAGCCATTTCCCATATATTCGTTATAAGTCAGTAGGAATTTTTGAAAACTTTTGGTAAGATTTTGAACCTGCGTGAATTTTTTAAGAGTTCTCGGAACTTCTGCGAAATTCACAGAATTTCCAAAAATTGCTGCAGAGATCTGTGAACTTCTGAGAACTCATCGGATTTTCTGGGAAGTTCTCGTAACTTTTCAAAACTTCCAAGAAATTTCAAGAACTGCCTATAAATTCTGACAACTTTGGAGAAGTTCCTAGAAACTTTCCTAGAAATTCTCATAATTTTCTTTCGAACATTTTTGTACTTCATTGAAGTTCTCGCTGTTATTTTAATTCTGGGCACCATGAACAAAACATGAAATCACATGCATTCGGGATGTCATCAAATCCCCATTCCTGACCTACCCATATTATTGGGTATTTGACAGTTTTACACTACCGGAAGTCGCCACCTTGGATTTACAAATGGCGTCAAACATCGATTTCTGGCCTTAGCTTGTCGTTCCCGCTCCGAAAATATCTATATTGAAGAGTATTTGGCAGTTTTTCACAAACCGGAAGTCGCCTTCTTGGATTCCAAAATAGCGTCAAACATCGAGCGCCGACCAGGACTCATCGTCCTCGTTCCAAAAATACCCATATTTTCGGGTATTTGACTCGGTATTTGACACTTATCCACACACCAGAAGAAGTCATGTTGGATTTTAGAAAACCGTGAATCGTCATGTTGGATTCCAAAATGGTATCATACATCGATTTCCGGCTTATACACATCGTCTCCGTTCCTAAAATATCCATATTGTACTATTGTACACACACTTTAAAAAAAATAATGTAAATTTAGGTGCTCTGAGACTGACATATACGAGCGTTAATTTTGACATAAAATTGAGTCATAATAGACGCGAAATTCAGCTCAATCAAACGTACTTTTCGTCGAGCAACGAACTTTTCAATCTCGGAGCACTTAATTTTACATGACATGTTTGTTTACGTCTCATCCTTTATGTCAAAGATGGATTCCGTTTCGTGTAAATTTAGGTATTTCTAAGCGTGCGGTATTTGACTGATTGACGCAAACCGGAAGTTGCCAGCTTGAATTCTTTCCAGAATGGCTTCAAACATTGATTTTTGGCCTTATAGCGAATTCGTTTATTATCGGGGTTGGAACCAGTTCCAACCCAGTGCGAAACCGAACTTTTTGTCAGTGCGAACCTCAACCTGAGCTACACGGTTAGAAAAAAGTACCCAAAATTAAGTTCTTTTCACTCATCTCGGCACTATAGTGCAGGAACCCAAAAGTAGGTAAAGCGGGTCAAAGTAATTTTCATTTACTTGTGTGCAGTTCGTATGGAATTTTCCACTGGCTTTTTAACCAAAAGTAAGTTAGTTGTACCCAACAGTAGGTAAATATGATTATACTCAACGTTGGGTTCCCACACTTTACTACCCCTGTTGGGTGGTTTTGCTCCTTCGTTTTTGACAACATTAGTAGGAGAAAAGGAGACAAACTAGTCAAAAGTAGGTAAAAGTAAACTTTCCGTTGGGTACTTTTTTCTTACCGTGTAGGTTTTAAAAACAAACGAGCTGACGTTTGTCAGCAAACAAGCAGACTCAATCTTGATACCCGATCCAGGTTGGAACTGAATAATAAACGAATTCGTAGTTCTCGTTCCAAAAATATCCAGAGTAGGATTGGGCGATCTTCAGAGAAAGATCGATCTTGACGAATCGATCTTATATTTGGCTCTAGAATCGATCCACTAATTAAACCCTGGGTCTGGTGAAGTCGAATCGCAGCCAGCTTCAAACACTGTCCAAGACGCATTGCAGCTAGCTTTACTCTGTTCGTACGGTTGTCAAATTGATAAACAAAGCAAATGTGTGCAAGATTGTGAGTGACTCTCTTGAAATTTCGATTGGTAGTTGTAGTCTGTTGTAGTTCGTTGTTATTGTCGGTCGCGTTTGACACCGGAAAACCCCACACCCGACTTTCGATTTTACTCTCGTTCTGTACAACAACAAAGCGTCGGACATGGTGTGCATTATGGCGCATCATTGTACAAATACAGCGCACTATGTCCGACGTTATGTTTTATGTACAGATTGAGAGTAAAATCGATTGGCGCGTGTCGAATTTTCCGGTTTTCTACTGTATCAATAATATTTGGTTTTCATAAAAGTTCCTAAGCAGTTAAAATGCGATGTTACGCAAAGTTTTGCAGCTACACTGCAAGTCCACCGGTGAAGAGAAGTTTTTTTTTTCTTGCTAATTTTTTTGTACTCTATTTGTTTACATTTGTTTTAATAAATTAAAAAAAAAAAACAAAAATACGTTTGTTCATCAAAACTATGAATATGTTTCCAAAAATAATAACAACTACGTTTTACTCAGATTACAATACTCCCTATCTGTTTCTTCCATATGAGCTCTTATAAGAACAGTGGATCTTTTCGTGGACAAAGAATCGATCCCAAAAATCGGAAATCGGGATGCATAAGATTGGTCTTCCAAAGATCGATCCAAGATCGCCCAATCCTATTGTAGAGTATTTGGCAGCTTTTGTCTTCCAGGATGAATTAGGTTCTGCAGCGTGACGTCACAAATCAACTCAGTGTTAAACGGCTGAACCTTTTTGACAGTTCAGTGGTACTGTTTACAAGCACTTAGTCGTTTTTTTCGAAAAAAAATATATTTTAAAATTTCCGAATTTTAACTTGAAAATTGTTGAGGAAATGCGTGGTGAAAGGATGTTGCTCGTGTACATTGAAAAAGTGTGGTTTACATCTCACTGCAATCTGAAAAATGATCCAGAAAATCTACCCAAGAAAAAATCGACTAAGTCCACGTAAACAGTACCACTGAACTGCCATCAGATTGAGGTTAACCCCGACGGTGCAAAACCTAATATTCTAAAAATGCCTGAATTTATTTGAGTTCCTGGAAATTATGTATGAACTAGGAGCTTTGGAAGGTCTTGCAGGTTGGGTGAGCTTCCGAATTATCATGAGTTTATTATGTTCTCAGAGTTTCAAATGCTTCCGAAAGTACAGAGATTCAAGAAGCTCACGTAGTTCCGGATATTTATGACGTTTCTAGTGTTCCGAGAGTTCAGGAAGTTTCAAGAGTTGTAGGTGTTTCCGAAACTTTCATAATTGGAAGAGTTTCGTGACATCCGACACACACTTAAGCACGGTTTCCTATTCGGTAATGTTGTTAGTTTTCGAACTGTAAATTACAAAAAATACCGAACATTCAGCTATTCTTAATAAAAGCCAACTCTAAAACTTGATTGGTCTATGCAATACAGGGTCAAAATAAGAATACTTACATATTTCTCCACCATCTGTCCCTCGAGCCTTCAAGGAAACCCACTCCTCCGCGCAGAAGGACAATGTTTCTCCAATCTTCTTTCTTTTTTTTTTCTTCTTTCGTAGACGTCAAAATTCGTACAATTATTTCGCTGACAGCTGCTGCAACCGGCGACGATGACCACGACGACGACGGACGGCCATCCTCGCCCGCCAATCCAATCTTGTGCAATAATACTTATGCTTCCTTTTACGGTATGACGCGACGACGACGACAACACAGCCAGACACAAAACCAAATATAAAAGTTTATTTTTTCGACCACCAAAACAAAGGCCCATTCGGACGTCAAGCAACGTGGTCCACGACAGTTACTTACCTTGTTTGCGTGTTCCTGCGCCCGGTGAACAATGTTTCCACTTGAGGAACGAAAAAAAAGAGACAAACATAAACATAAACAATCAGCAAACGTGACGTTCCATTGCGTCCGATGCGCGGCGTCGTTTTTTTGCAACTGTAAACAAAAACAATAACAAAGTGAACCAAATCGGTCCTTCCTGGCGGGTGGGTATTAAAGTCCTTGGCGTAAAAGTATGGACGTCTGTCAAAAGTTGTTCCAATCGAACCTGCTTTGCTCGACTGGAACAACTTTTTTCCAGTTTTCTGGTGACAGTCGTCCATACTTTTACTAGAGTGCTTTAGTGGGTATGCGTTTGCAAAGCTTACTGAGCGCACTTCGTGCGCGATCGGAATTTGGACAAAAAATTCATAACCTCACTTCTGGTGCAGTCAACTGTTGAAAATTCCTACATTATTCATTAGGCAGCAATCAAAATTAATGAATTGCCTCAATGCGGGTCCTTCCTCCTGCTGCTGGCAATACGAGTCGCTGCACACTTGGGAAAATGTCAAGTTTGTCGGTCATGGCACGAGGGAAGATAAATTCATTAAGTTCGAATAAGGAGATATTAATTGATTGAATCGATTGTTGCTAAATTTGCGCCCGGCAACCTTCGTCTCAATTTGTCATGCCACCACCTACTACTACATCAGCGCCTCTCTCTGTCCTTCCCTGTCTCGGTGGGTCCGGCCCGGTCCGAGACGATGACAATTTATAAAAAAAAATAATATGGAGCCTGGTGGCCGAAATGTCAAATCGGCTGCTGCTGCTGCTAGTGACTGTAAGTAATTTGGTCACGCCATTTGCTACTGCCACTGCTGGCACGTCCTTCGAGTATTGTTGCAACGACGGCCGGCAGGCGGACCATATTAGTGCATTTTTGCCTTGCATGAATGCGGCTTAAAAATGGTGTGAAATTTAGCATGTGGCGTTTCAGGGTGGCTTTTTATTAATACTGGTGGAACTTATTGTTGAAATCGGGGGATTCGTACTTGAAGAACTCTACCGATTTTGGAGCGGTCGTTATTAATGTGGTCGAATGGGGGGGGGGGGGGAATGGGACTCATTTGCAATGTTATAGGACGTGGCCTTCGATGGTTCTTCGCAGAGAATTTATGCATTGGATTTGATTATTTACTGATGCCCTTAACCTAGGTAATTGTTTGTGCATAATCAATAATCGTAAATTATCTTATCATTTCAGAAACCAACCCGTACTGGATGGCAGCGTATCAATAAGGTATGTATGTTCGCAGTAGTCATCACCTTGTGGTTAGCATACACCTTGCACCATTGAGTGGTAACAGTTTGGCAAATGATACGGATTAGAGTCACGCCAACAGTGAAGCCAAATCCGAGGAGGGCGACACTAACTAAATGTCAATTATTAATGCTTAAAAAATATCATACTAATCAATCTTTGGAAAATCTCCCAAGTAACCAAAAGTTCTGATAAAAGGCTATTTGTGGCTTAAGCAGCTTGGTTGAAGGTGGTCTATAGAATTCTAATCAGTCTCACTTTTAAGTCGTTATAAGAACTTGAAAGTTCCGGTACCATAATTGAAGAGCATTCTAAGCAGCTTATGGCGGAACCTGAATGGAACTTTCAGAAAATAAATTAAAAAAGGTTTTTGTCCTCTACGCGAATTTTATATTTAGTTCGCACTTTTATGAAAGTTAGTTCTAAGTCAGGTCTCTATGAATGTTATTTCTAAAGGCAGTTAGGAAGTTTATTGGTGTATCAGTATTAGTAGTAGTATTGGAGCTGTGTGAAGAATGAAACCCAGTCCTTCTGCGTGAGGGCATCAGTACGAACCGCTACACCATCTGAGATATATTAAAGTGAGCTGTTGGAGTTTTCAGTGCAAGCTGACTGACTTGAATACGAAACACAACACCTTGATGAATTTTAAATTGGTGTTTGCCCGCATGGTATTCCAATATACTTGTGGCGCAGTGGTCATAGATCGGGTTCGAATCCAATTTCTCTAAATTTTTTTATGTTTTGATTGAATATTGATGCACTGTATGAATAAAAGAATTATGATTTATTTGAGCCACTGATCATTTCATATTGACGTACATTAATTTTTGTTCCTAAAAAATACTTGTGCGGATTGCTTCACGTGAGCTATGACGGACCTTAGCAACTTTCAAGTTACTAAGAAGTTCCGCAGGGAACTTTTAAGACACTTTAAAGTTGCTAAGAAGTTTCACTGGGAAGTTGTTCGGAACTTTGTTGTGGCCATGTTTTCAGCCTTGCCTGAAGTTCCTAAGAAGTGCTTAGGGATGCTTTTTGGAACTTCTTTGAACTTCAAAAGCCTGAAGTTCCTCGTGTGCTTTCTATAGCTTCTAAAGTAGCCAGAAAGTTATGTTGGAACTTTATAAGCACTTTATGGAACTTGAAAGTGGGTTTTTTTCGTTTAATTTTGAACTTTTGGTTGCTTGGGAAGAAAATACTGTCGGAACTTTATTTGAACTTTATGGAACTTTGAAGTTCTGTCGGAACTTTAATTGAACTTTATGGAACTTGAAAGTGAGTTTTATAGTTGAATGCGAAACTTTTGGTTACTTGAGCTTCTTTCATTTCTCGCATCTACTTGTATTGCGTGCGAGGGGGGCGACACATCTAAATCTCAATTCTACATGCTCGAAAAATCTCACACTAGCTAATCAATCTTCTAAAAATCTTCTTTCAATTCTTGCATCCACTTGCATCGCGCATCATCTTTTTGCAGGAAATCTGCAAAATCGTGATAAATCTTCTTTCTATCTACTCAGCGTACGTGCAGCTAGCCACAGCAAAACACAATGTTTCGTGCATCGTAGATAGAGTCGTCCCCCTCGATTGCGTGTCCTTTTGTTTGCACGGAATCTTTTTTTTTTTTTGCTTTATTATAGAGACTTTCAGTCTGTAGCTGGTTCGTCTCTTCTGAATCGTCATCAATCTTCTTTCTATCTACTCAGCGGGCGCGCAGATAACCACAGCAAAACACAATGTTTCTTGCATCGTAGATAGAGTCACCTCCCTTGGCAAAAGCCACCTATTGAACTGTCAAACCGGCTACCTATCGTGCAAAGCAAACAAACATTACGATGCTATGAAATCGTTACGAAAGGTATTGCAATCAAATATCAAAGAAATGATCATCATAAACACGCAGTGAACTTTAAATTGTCATGGCATACCGTTTGGTAATATTCGATCATGATAATTTGTCAAGGGTTAATCAACTTTGCATACTGTTCTGGAACCCAGCATGGCACACTGTTCGGCACGCTAGGGCACATATTGACAAATTGGGAACACACAATATAATATAAAACGGCATCACTGTCGAGTGTTGACGTTTTGTCAATCGTTGCTCAGGTTGAATACTTTGCTAACTCCATTGGGTTCACAATGGGTGATCATTAGAGTGATGCAAAATTTGAAATTTTCGCTCCACAATACTTAAACGGTTCCAAATCGGATCCTGACTAACCTCTCAAAATTTGAACCCATTTGGTGAGAAACTGAGATGGCACAAACCATTTGAAGTTTGTATGGGAATTACTATGGTAAAACCAAGATTTTTGATCATGTCTATCTAATTATTCATCATATCAGTCTGCTTCAAAAAATTTCAACTTTTCTTGTAGGAAATTTTTCCAGCTACAACTTTGCTGAAGACCACTTTTTAATTAAATGCAAGGATCGAAAGTTATCATTGGTTCAATGCGCTGATGTCTTATGATGATGCTCAATCAACTGCTCAGCAGGCAACATTGGTGTTTCTGGGGCGTTGTATAGGAAACACAAATCATGGCTACTATGTCACACTGCAAAATACAGTGTTGCCTACAGAGCAGCTGCTTGATCATGTCATAAGTTTACCAATCTCTTAAATAATTAATAACTTTTTCCTGTCTCGTTTTACGTAGAAACAATCTTCAGCAAAGTTGTAGCTGAGAAAATTTTCTATAAGAATGGCTATCGAACTGTTTCGCAGCTCTATATGGGAAAAGACTAGAAGGCAATGAACAAAAAATTAAGATATCCCATAGTAATTTATATGTAAACTTCAAATGGCTTGTGCGAAGTCTGTTACCAACCAAATGAGTTGTAACTTTGAGAGGCTAACCAGGACCCGATTTGAAACCATTTAAGCACTGTGGAGTGAAAAAGTCAAATTTTGCATCAGTCTAGTGATCATGCCAATAGTCGCTATATACATTCTGGGCTGAGGTCGAATTCACATCCGTCTTTCTGCTTAATCGGCCCTCTACGCAATGTCACGATTCTACTCATGAACAAGTTTGGACTGGAAAGAAACCCAATTTGTCACATCTTCGAATCTTTGGTACCAAATTCCAAAGCAACGGCGGCAAAAGTGGGACCTCAAATCCCGGGAATGCATTTTTGTTGGGTACGACGACTACACGAAAGGATATCGGCTCTACGATCCACAGTCGTGTAAAGTGTTACGCAGTCGCAAAGTCTGTTTCATTGACGAAGGAAAGTACACCAACCGTACGGGTTGAAAAGCAACGTCAGATTTTGATCCCGCTAGACTTCAAGTTGGTTTCCTCATAGACAGCCACAAGTTATTCGGACGTCGAGAAGACCGAAAACAACGACGCTGAGGACGAGCTCTTCACGGATTGCGAACGTGACAGCGAAGAAGAGTTCAACGGTTTCGACCTTTCACAAGAAACAGTGTGCTCCCACCGCGCAAAACTTCAAATCCACCTGACTCACAGGTGTTGAGACGTAGCGGTCGGGAGCTAAAAATCCCAGGCAAGTACAATGAGTTTCATGTAACGTGCAAAGGTCTGCCGCATTCCAAACCTTTGCAGGAGGCTGACACGAACGCGAACAACCTTGTTACACCGGAGCAGCTGACATCACAGGAGCAGTTCAGCGGAATCGCAAGCGCGATCGACATGGCCGTAGCTAGGAGTCCACTAGCAAATGGTGATCCGAATACACATCAGGAAGCGCTGTCGCGGGAAGACGCAGCACTTTGAAAGCGATGCGTGAGGAGTATAGTATGATGCGCTGATGGCAAACGACACCTGGACCTTGACCGAATTGCCTGAAGGTCGGAAGCCGATAAAATGTAAAGGCCGGCGCACAATAGATACGTTTTCGGTTTTTTTTGACAGATAATGTATGGGTTAACTGTCAAAAAACCTGAAAACGTATCTATTGTGCGCCGGTCTTAAGTGGGTCTATAATACCAAGCACGACGCAAACTTCAACGTGGACAGATACAAGGCACATCTTGTCGTAAAAGGCTTCTCACAGCGAGAGGGGCTGGACTATGATGAGACCTATTCACCTAGGTTCATTATAGTTCACTGCGGTACCTTTTCGCCGTGTCTACCTGACATGCACTTTCTATTGAGCAGATGGACGCTACAACCAACAATCAATACGAAACTAACGATTTTGAATTGACTTACTACTTGACTAGCCTATTGGTCCCAAGCAAACGATTATCGTACCCCATTCTAGTCGAAATTCTAGCACTACACTATGTTTGTTTTGATTCGCTATGAAAGTTTGACAGATAAAATGAGGGGTTAGTGTTTCGAGGGGTGAATCGATTACCTTGGGACCGAAGAGAGTACCAGAGCTGAGCCAAAAAGTTGAGCTCGTTTCTTCGGGACCTTCTAGTATAAGAGTTACCTCTATGCTTCAACGGCGTTTCTCCTAGGAGAATTGACGGAGGAGATTTACATGGAACAGCCTCCGTGTTTCCAAAAGTCCGACCAGCAAAGACTGGCTTGCCACTTAAACAAAGGTCTCTACGGAGTCAAACAGTCCAGTCGTGCTTGGAACGCGAAACTCGACGCGGCGTTGCGTTGATTCGGAATGACTCCTTCAAAGTACGATCCTTGAAGGCAATAGCATGATATTCGTTGCGATCTACATCGACGACGTGATTATCTTTTCCAATGATGATAAATTGACCAGCGAAATAACACTAGCTGCTGTAACCATAGATCAGAAAGCATACATTGAGCCAGTGCTCTCTCGATTCAACATGCAACACGCGAAGGCAGTGTCAACTCCGATGAATTCAAGCTAACAGCTGACTAAGAAGATGGCTCCGCAGACCACGGATGAAGTTACGAAGATGAACGGGATTCCGTACCAGGAGGCTGTAGTCAGTTTGATGTATCTAGCGCAATGCACCAGACCTGATGTTCTGTTCGCTGTGAACCAACTCAGTCGCTTCAATGTAAAGCCGG